TGAACATATTCACTTCCGAAGGAGTTGCGGAGGAACCAGCAAAGTGGAATTCAGCTAGGAAGATTTTGTGTAGATAACAGTTTTTCATGTAAAGGACTACAGATAGTATGGCTTGGCAGAAGGAAGGAGGAAAGGGATTTCTTTCTATAGGGAGAATGGTACCTGTGAAGGCTTGGAGAAAAAGAGTGATGAGGTGGTTATTGTAGCTGTTAAAACTATCAGGCTTTTCCAGTGGGAAAAGCACTGGACTGGGTGATCCTGGTTTCACTTGGCTGTGATTTGCTGAGTGCAATTGGAGAAATCACTTTAATCTTTCTAGACCTAGTTTCTTTATCTTTAAACTAGAGGCCCGGTGCATGAAATTCGTACACAGGTAGGGTCCCTAGGCCTGGCCAGTGATCAGGGCCAATCGGGGCTTTCCTTCCCCAGCTGCCAGCTGCCGGCTGAGGCCTTCTTTCATTCCGCACCGCCCCCTGGTGGTCAGTGCATGTCATAGCAATCAGTCGAACTCCGAAGGCAACAATTTGCATATTAGCCTTTTATTATATAGGAGGATTGAGGGAGTTGAAATAATATAATCTGTGATTTACCTTCCAGCTCTAGTATTAAGTAATTCTGGCTTACCTGTCAGATGAGATGGCCTGGATTTTTTTGCTTCAAAGTTCAGTTTCGTTACAATTGTAGTTTCATATTTGCATTTTGAGAGTCTTGCTTGCCTAGCGGACCAGGCTTAAAATATGAGCCATTCAAATCTTCCCCTTTGCTTCACATTTATTTCAGTTAGATCTTGAATTTATGTTTCTCCCTTTTCCCACTGTTTCTCTCATTCAGTAAGTCCTTCAGAATCTTTCTCTTGGATTGTTGTGTTTAACATTACATCACCACCCACCCTATGCACTAGAATTTATCTCTTATACATACCAGCTAGTTTAATCTCAATGTGTTTCTCCTCTAATTGTGGTGGTTCTCCATTGTCTTCCAAAGAAAGGCCAGACTGATTAACTCAGTATTCAGTATTGGCTATTAGTCTTAGCTCTCATTACTCCCCTCACATAATCTACAGAATAGTTCAACTGAACCTAATATCCTCTTGGTGCCTTTGCTCATATTGTTCCTGCACCTGGTTATGCCCTGCCTCTCCCCCATTGTCAAACACGTCACAGGCTTTCCATCTCAGGTGTGCCACCCACTGTCTTCATGAAATCCCTCAGGCTTCCCACAGCCAGAAATAATCCTTTTCTTCTCAACTCCCATAGCACCTTTTCTGTATCTAATAGTGCTAATTACTTTGTTTGGTTGTCTTTTTTTTATTTTTATATTTTTGTACTATCTTACCTCTCTAAACTAAGCTCCCCTGTGCAGGGTGGATGCTCAGTAAATATTTGTTGAATGAATGCATGAATTATAGTTCAAGTCCCTGTTATCTTTGGTTGGTAGTGTTTCTTATTTTTCTGGATAATCACTAAAAAGAATATAGAAAAGAACCCTGCATAAAGGAACTAATAAGCTAATATATAAAAATAAGAATTATTGCTTTAGATCTGTTAATAATTCCCAAGTTTGTACTTAAGGCAAACAAAGTGTTTTCAAGGTTCAGCCTTGTCTCTTGAGTTTCATTCACCTGGGCTTTCAAGGCACTATAGAATCCTTTTCAGTTGAACTACTACCTCAAAGTAGTTTGTGTTTTGTTTAGTTTACAAAAGAAATATACTGGTTTTATAGTCGAAGCAGACTATCCTCTTTAGTACATACTGCCATGTAACACCTTGCTGAACAGTCACAAGTATATTCGTATTTCTGTGTATGAACATTGCTGACCTGTCACGAGTTAACTTGTGTCTTTTTCTCAACCTCTGAGTCAAGTATTTCCAGAGATGTGGCAAACAATACATCCTAATTCTTTCCATCCATCTTGTATTATGGTAAAAGTTTTTAAAAAGATGCATCGTGGCAGAGAAGAATGTCACAGTGAATTATGTGCACTTTGTCTGATTGACCGAGTGACTTTGGTAGTCAGCTGGAAGATAGTAATGAGTCTAACATTAGACCATCAGGAAGGCAAAGGAGAAATGTGATAGTATATGACAGTGAAAGTGATTCGGAAGAATGGGCAGAAAAAGACATTTTACCAGCCTTGGGGGATTATACAAATATTTCAGGCGTAACTGTTCAATTTGAAGACGCACAAAGTATAAGTGAAGTAACCAATTTATTTTTTGACTAGAGGCCCGGTGGACGAAATTCTTGCATGGAGGCAAGGAGGTCCCTCAGCCTGCCCTCCACTCTCACGCAATCTGGGACCCCTCTGGGGATGTCCAACTGCTGGTTTAGGGCCGATCCCACAGGGATTCCTGCAGGATGGGGCCTAAACCGGCAGTCGGACTTCCCTCTCGCAATCCAAGACTGCTGGCTCCTAACCACTTGCCTGCCTGCCTGATCACCCCTGACCACACTGCCTGCCTGCCTGATCGCCCCTAACCACTCTGCCTGCCTGCCTGATGCCCCTAACTGCTTGCCTGCCTGCCTGCCTGATAGCCGCTAACCGCCTCTACCTCGGCTCCTGCCACTGCAGCTTCATGCGGAAGTGTTGAGTGTTTCCTTCCCACATCCCGCGTGGATGAGGGTTCAGGAACTGGAAGCGGAGCCGCACACAAATGACAGAGAAAATACACGATATAATTTGGAAATATTGGGGGACCAGGCGAGTAAGTCCAACTCAGGAGGAAGGACTCCCCCCGGTGCTCAGGCCTCACCAAGCTTTTATTGATTTGGGATACACCCATAGCATAGCCCTTAGGCAGGTGACCCCTGGCAACAGGCAGACTAGCCCATCAGCAAGGATTTACATAATAATAAATGGGGAAGTTGCTTCAGCTACCACTGTCTGGACAAACAGAGGTGGCGCCTAGCTCCGACCTTTGCTAAGGCTTCAAAGGCACCCAGCCTGGGGGGGTGGGGGGGGGGAGTCTCTGTCTACGCTTATCAGCTAGTGAAGACAATAAACAGTTTCCCACAGGGAAGGACATCCAGAAGGTTGTTCGGCTGTCTGGTCTACTTTAGCATATTACACTTTTATTATTTTAGATGAGGATTTTTTATATCTTGTTACTTCTCAAACCAATTTACACCATCACCAAATGGAAAAATACCACGAAATCTTTGCTAAAACTTCACCATGGATGGATGTTACTTATAAAGAAGTTTCTTGGTTTAATTATATTGATGGGACTAACAAAGAAGCCAGAATGGAAAGATTACTGGCCAACTGACCCTTTACTTGGATCACACATATTTCCATAAACTATGACTGGAAAAAGATTCAAGCAGATACTTATTACATTCTTTCATCTGAACAATAATTCACAAGCAACATGTAACACAGACCATGTTTACAAATTAAGGCCTCTTTTGGATCACTTTATCTCAAAATTTAAATCTTTATATATCAAAACAGCAGTTTTCACTCAATGAAACTGATTCAAGTAGAGGATGCATCAAATTGAAGACATATAATCTGGCAAAAAATAATAAAATATGGAATTTTAGTAAGGATACTTTGTGAAAGTTAGAGTGACTATATTTTCAACTTCAAGATATACATGGGTGAAAGTTACAACAGACTGTATTACCTGTCTTACGCCCTTTTCTTGGTTCTTGGCATCATATTTACCAAGATAATTACAACATCGTGTCTACACCTGAACAGCATACTGGTCTGTGGGACAATAAGGGAGACTGTGAGTTGCCAAAGCTACTAAAAGAAAAGTAGCCAGCTACATAAGCGAGTTCTGGCTCGAAATAGCCAGTCAGCAAGGTTTAAGGTCAGAAATTACGTCTTACACATACCTTGTGCTTTCAGAACTATTAATAAGATCCTTGAAAGTTTGGTAAATAAATCTGGATAAAGAACTGATTATGAGCTAGTCAAACCATAAGCATAGTGGACCCTGTTTAAAAGAAAACTTTGCATGACTTAGAACATATTCCATCACCTCAGAAAATACTGGTTTATTGGGAGATTGAGAAGAGAAATAGGATCTCCTAATTTTCCCCCCTGTCACTTTTTGACCTTGTAGCTTCGGAGCGCTCAACTAATCTTTGTTTAGAATGCTGTGCCAAAACAGGCTTTGGCGTTGTCTACCTGATCCCCAATGAAAGCAAATGCATCTCACCTAGGATTAGACCATTAATATAGACATTACCTCACTTCTCTCCAGATGATGTAAGATTAATCTCAGTTCTGGCAATCTATCATCAGTCATGTAGGTGTAGTGTACTTAAAGTATAAAAAATGCCAACTTACTTATTACCAATGCTTTTTTCAAAATATAGTGCTTCTTTTAAGCTGTTGCAGATCGGTAAATGAAGAAAAGTTTCTAACTAATTACATATTTGCTCCTTTAGTCTCTTGCCATTAAAAATAGAAAGCAGCCCTAGATGGTTTGGCTCAGTGGATAGAGCATCGGCCTGCAGACTGAAAGGTCCCAGGTTTGATTGTGGTCAAGGGCACATGCCCAAGTTGCAGGCTCGATCCCCAGTAGGGGGCGTGCAGGAGGCAGCCAGTCAATGATTCTCTCTCATCATTGGTGTTTCTATCTCTCTCCTTCTTCCTTCCTCTCTGAAATCAATAAAAATATATTTTAAAAAATAGAAAGCAGTACAGCATATTTATGTAAGTTAAATTCTTTGATAATTATTGATTTATAAAAAGTGGTATATGTGTACGTATTTCTTTTAGTGTGCTGATAAAAGGAATGGAGCTTGGGAAGGAGCAAGGTGAGAAATAAACCCCATGGAAAAACAGGAAGTTGAACTCAAGTTGCTCCTCTAGCAGTAATTGTGGCGAAGATGGTCAGAGTTGATCCATGACTAGCATTTCTGCTACACTGACCATTAAGATGCTTGGGAGAGGCATCAGGGGGTGGAGCGGCAAGGCAGATGGATTTTAAGAAATCTCTGTGTTTGATCTCTCAACTCTCTCTCTCTTCCTTCTCAGGAGTTAGAAGCAGCTCTTCACAGAGATGATGCAGAGTTTATTAGTGACCTAATCGCCTGCTTGCTTCAGGGCTGCTATCAACGAAGGGATATTACGTGAGTAATTCTGATCTTACTAAATTTTTTGAAGAGAGAACCAACCAATCAACCAGTCATCAAGATGTTTCATGTCTCCTAACAAACCAGTACTGATCATTAGCCGAAAAGACATAAAAGTGTAAACTGAGTATTTACAAATGGATTCCCAAATCTTGTGTTTGGTTCTTTCTGCAGTTGACTTTTTAAAAATGTTTTTATTGATTTTAGAGAGAGAAGAAGGGAGAGGCGGGGAGCGAGAGATAAAGAGATAGAGAAACATCAAGATGAGAGAAACATCGATCAGTTGCCTTCTGTATTTTTCCTGACCAGGAATTGAACCAGTGACCCCTTGGTTCCTGGGTTTACACTCAACTGCTGAGCCACACCAGCAAGACAACGTTTCTTTTACATCGGTGCTTCTCTCTCTCTAAAATCAATAAAAACTTTTTTTTTGGTTGTTTTTGCTGAGCTGGTGTGGCCCAGTGATTGAGTGTCAACACATGCACCCAGAGGTCATGGGTTTGATTCCTGGTCAAGGCACATGCCTGGGTTGTGGGGGCTTGATTCCTAGTAGGAGACATGCAGGAGGCAGCCAATCGATGTTTCTCTCTCTTCGATGTTTCTATCTCTCTCTCTCTCTCCCTTCCTCTCTGTAAAAATCAATGAAAATATTTTGTTTTTTGTTTTTCTCCTTGAATTTCAGA